TTTAAAAATTTAAAAATTTAAAAATTATAATAATTAATAGTTATAATATTTTTATTATATATATTATTTTCTATAATTTTATATTATATTATATATATATCGAACCGGCTCGCAAGCCGAGCTCAAATAGGCTCGAGTTCGGCTCGTTTAATAATCGAGCCATTGAATTAAGCTCGAGCTCGGTTGAAACTGAGCTGAGCTGAGCCGAGCTCGAGCAACTCGTGAAAAGCTCGGCTTGTTGCCACCTCTACCAACAAGGTTGTTAGTCTTCAAACCTCCATCCATTGGACAAATGGGCTTCTCTAGTTGGTGGCTGGTTGAGAACCATCAGCTTGGCCAACAGATACTTAGATCGCGTGGCTTAGGCTTCCAACCCTCTCCTATAGGACGATAGGATCTTAGATCTAATGCAGGATGATGTATAGAGTGTGCATAAGCAAATAAAGAACAATAGAAATAAAGTAGTAAATAACTATCTAATTATCAGAAAATGAGTAATTATTACTAAAACAAAAGGAAATAACACATAAGCATGCATATATACAAAAAAATAGCAATCAAGCCCAAACAGGCCTGTGTGGGCCCCACCTATGGTCCAAGAACTCCCCAGTGGAGTCGCTAGTCTGTGAGCGTTGGAAAACGGCTCACTTGAGGCTGAAATGGAATCGGCACCCATCAGTTATGGAATTAGAGGCGATGGGCCCTTCGAGAATGATTTTCAAAAATACTTTAATCCAATGATGACTCCAAAGCCTAAGGCACTGGTTAAACTAGTTCGGATAAGACTCAGATAGGAGAGGGAAGGGGTTAGGCACCCTTCTCTCGGGTCCAATAGGTGGGGCCCACATGATATCCCAAATAAGCATAATCACAAATATACAATTATTTAATTGAATAAGAGCAAAACAAAGCATTTTGTCTTGAGATTCTCTCCTAATTTTTATTTTTATTTTTATTTTCATTGTCTTTTTTGAATTTAACTTTATCAATTGTTTATGTTACTTCCTTATGAAACTGTACTTGATTTTATGAGATTGTTTTTATTATTTTGTTATTATCTTTTTATTTTTTTTATCTTTTATATTTTTTTGTTTTTTTTATTTATTTTTCCCTCTCTCTTTTTTTTGATTTTTATATTTTCTCTATTTCAATTTTTCTTGTTTCCCTCTTCAGCAACTTACTCTCCCCCTTGTCAACGAAATATGTTCGGGCCTATTGAATTAACCTCCCCATATCATCCTTTTGGCCATTTTATTTATTTATCTACTTATTTATTTATTTCTCACTTTTAGTTATTCCTTGAATCCTTTCCCTTTTTTCTATCGATCAAGTTAACTGATCCTCTGGCCGATCACTCTTCTCTCACAGAATCTGCAATCAGAGATATCATCTCTGAATCTCTGCTTTGGTATCACATCCACGTAATCACTCTTCACTCTCTCTCTCTCTTTTTTTTTTTTTTCATTAGGTTCAATTTGAAAAGAGTACAAATGTAAATATGTATAGTATAAATACATACAAAATAACATAAAATATAAGGTTTTGCCCTCTACATAATTCCATTTATATTCCTTCCAAACTGAGCATTATAATTTATTTATTTATTTATTTCTTATTCTGAATTAGAGGAGCTGACTGTTCACCGGCCGAGGGATATCTCGGTTATAGTCTTCTCCGGTTGAGACTCAACCGAAAGAATCGTTTTGAATCAATGCACCCGATCAATTTGAAGCATTAACGAGCATTATACTTGAATTAAACTGTTGAGAAGAAAACTGCACTGCCTAATCACACCATTAACTAATGAAAACAAGATTTCGATTGGCTCCAAACAAATGAGGAAATAATTGAACAGTGAATGACAGAAATACGATAACTTGAGACATGAAAGCATATTTTCTAAATAAAGAAAAGAAGAGAAAAAAAAAACGAACAATAATAATAGATAAACAAAGACACATGACGATCCTTCTCCTCATCACATTCGTTATCAACCACAAAGTTTATAGAGGTCAACTCTATATAGCTTCATCGCCATCTCTCATGGCCGATACCCGAATGTAATACCAGAGAAAAACAAAGGATGATGATAAAGGAAAAACATGGAGCAACAATAGAAATTAAGAGTAATGAAACTAGAAAATAAAAGAAAAGACAAGTTGCAAGTCGGGTTAGGACATATCTGAGTTGTGTTCTGACCTGAACTCAATCGGTGCTGCGAGAGAGGTTCGGCTAGTTCTATTCCAATTGTTTGTCCTTAGAAGGCGACTTCCAACAGAAACTTGAACCAGCACTGTGATATCCTCTTCTGGAAAACGGTAACGAATCACCGAAATCTGCTTGAGAATGCCACTGTGTTCTCGCCTTAAGGATGAAGAAGATGAATGGTCGACTTTGGGGAATTCTGGGGATTTGAGCAAAAAATGGAAGAAGTAGAAGGAGAAGAAGAGGTGGAGAGAGATGTCAGAGCAGAGGGAAATGATGGGGAGGAATTAGATCGCCGCTATCGAGAGTTGCAGCGGCGATCTGAAAAAGAAAATAGAGGATGAAAAACAGAGGAGGGGGATTAGGAGAAAGAGATGGGAGGGTAAAGAGAGGAGAATCAGTCGGAGTAGTCCAGAGAGAAGAAGAATCGCTATCATCGCTACTTCTGTTATCGTCGAGAGGTAGACGATGAACAGTTTCTCAGATTTCAAAGATTAAAAAAAGAAGAAGGAGAAAGAGAGGGAGAGAGATCGACGGTGATTGGTGGGGTTAGGGGTATTTTGGTAATTTTTATTAAAATATTAATAAAAGAAGGGATTGAATAGTGTATTTGCTTTAATAAAAAAATTTAGGTTGGATTTATAGGTATGGTTAGGGGCATTTTGGTAATTTTAATAAAAATATTAAAAAAAGAAGAGATTGAATAGTGTATTTGCTTTAATAAAAAAATTTAGGTTGGATTTATAGGTATGGATAGGGGCATTTTGGTAATTTTTGATAAACTAGATTAAACTGGGTCCAAGGGTCAAACCGAGGTTTTTGATTCAATGATGGGGTGGTTCTGAGTAAAAAAGTGGAGGGTTGAGACTAGTTTGACCACAGAGAGTAGGTTTGTGTCTGAATTCTCGAGATTGGCCAAAATGGAATTTTTTCAGATGAAGGGGTAAATTGGGGTATTTTTGGCTAAAATTTGGTAGGGTAGGGTTTTTGGACATTCTGATTTGATTGGTGGGGTCGGATTGGGCCAAATAAGCTAAGACCGGGAATTTGGGGGTTAATCGTAGGAATTAACCCCCAAAATGTGTTAAAATCGTAGGAATTTGGGTTAACGAGATGTTTTAAAATGGAATCTTGTTTTGATGAAAGGGGCAAATGGGGAATTTGCGTTTAAAACTTTATGGGCAGGTGTTTTGATGTATCCAGAGTTTAATGGTGTGATTTGATCGGTTCATATGTATTAAGATCAAGGGAATCTATGTACCTAGTGTTTAGTCTAACAAAAGGCATCAAAATAGAATCTTTGCTTGATGAATGAGTAAACGAAAGAATCTTGAGCTAAAATTTCATGAGTAGGTATTTTGGGATGTCTTGAGTTATGGTGGTGACATGGTGTCTGATCTAAGGGTAAAAGTGTAGATGGGGGTTAATTGAGGCCATCAGGTTTGTATCGAGCAAATTTAATGACAGATTTAAAGGCTTTTGGGCTGAAAGTTGGGTTCTTTGGGTTTTTGGCCATTTCAGAGAGGTTGGATGGGTTTGATTGGATGCTTGGGGTAAATTGTAAGTTCAGGCGATAGACCAAGCAAAAATCAGGTACTGACACACATTATCCCAAAGCCTATTCTTTTCAACCTCCTCTTTTATTCAATTGCGGGCCTATGTTGATGGTGATTGGGCAAATTGTCTCGACACCAGACGCTCTACTATAAGGTAGTGTGTCTTCATGGGTGATTCCCTTAATTTCTTGGAAATGCAAGAGACAACAGTCTCCAAGTCCTCTACAGAAGCGAAGTATAGAACTTGTCATTTGTCTATAGTGAAATTGTTTGACTATAATCCCTCTTTGATGATCTCGATGTTCATCTTCTTACTTTGACTCCTTATGCTGAATTGTCACTTTATCCAAGGCCATGACGAAGGCAAATTGATGTCATTTTTACCATGACAAAGGCAAATTGTCACTTTATGCAAATTGATGACATTTTTACCAAGGCCATGACGAAGGCAAGACATCTATTTCTTGTGGGCAAAAATTTTGATGCTTATGACTTAACATTAGTTTGAGAGGAGTGTAGAGAGTATTAATGTATTCTAATGTTATAGCCTATTGTATTGTATCTTTTCTTACTTTATTTTTCTCTTTTAGCCCTATAAGGGCATTCTTGTAATCCTTTTAGCCCATAAGGACTTTTTGTAAATTCTTTATGCTCATACGATACGAGCTTACTTGTAAACATTCATAATATAATAAAGGCTCTTTGAGGGTGGGGGTCGAATTCATTCTTTGACACAATGACACCTGGTGGTGCTAAACTCTCTACTGTTCATCCTATTGACACATCTCCATTTCAATATAATTATTTTTTTAGTAATAATTATAATTTAATATAAATACATCTATAGTTAATGAATTAGTGGAGTAATGGAGAGAAAAGAGAATTAGTGGCATGAGTTATTGTAAGAAAGAGTTAAAGGAGTTAATGAGAAAAATAGATTTTATGGTGTGTTGTTTTGTTCAATTTTAAAATTAGAAAAATTCAAAAAAAAAAAACAGAAAGAAAAGATAAATGCCTAAAGCATGAAAGTACCAGCTTGTACATTCAGTTTTAATAAATAGATATAGATTGGCCTGTCCATGTGAACTAGACATCAATCAACCTTCCACTTCAACTAGCCTGTTCATGTGAAGTTGAACTTTCTCCAACAGAATCTAAATTGGGCATTTGAGTGCACTTGAAGATGGCCAGAACTCCACCGAACAACAGATGCTACTTATGCTCAAGAGTTCTGTCTTGTTTACTAGGATAGAGATCTATAAAGAAAACAAGACAAAAAAATAAACCATCGAAAGCCCCCAATCAAGACAAAAAAAGCATATGTACTTGAATAATGAGTAACATAAGATAAACACACGTTAGATTCAGACCTTCATCGCCACAACCAAGTGCTAGCTGCCACTAACGGAATTATGACTACCAATCCGTAGTTCACAAAGGTATCAGCATCTTCTATTTTTTCCACTACTGTCTTGTGCAAGGTGCTCCATATGCAGTGGAAAGAACAAACCTCCTGCAGAATTTATGTTACATAGATAAAAAGTCAAACTATCACAAAAAAGATGAGGGAATATGGTGAAATAGAAAACTTTACCTTGTTGAAGTCACTTATTTGGTCTTGATGGTATGCACTTAATGCTCTTCTCTCTGCCTGGCTAGCTTTTAGATTTAATGGTGCTTTAATTTCAGCTTTGTCAGTGCCTTTGACTGAGAAGCCTCTATATGCTGAGTCTGTGTGAATCGTTTCCATCACTGAGCCAAAGAAATCTGTCACAGGCACCTACAAGTGAAGTCTATGAAAAGTTACCTTAGTATTCAACTATTCATCAAATAAGTTTAGAATACAAGGAGAATACTGAGGTGATTGTGTAAATTTATGTTGCCTCCACCTACCACCCATACATCCCCACTGCTTATCTGAAATATTTGTGTGGGTCCCACAGTGCTTATTTATTACTGTAATTAATATCAATGTTCCTAATCAGCTAAGGGTGACATGCATTAATTACATGTTGCTTCAGTATTCTGAGATTGCAAAGGAAAATAAAGTCTAAAGACTAGAAATGTTAAGGGCTCCGGTCTGGTGAAGCTAGGTTAGACGCATCACAGTCAAGAGACTCGTACATCCCCACTGTTTATCTGGAATATTTGTGTGGATCCCACAGTGCTGTAATTATATATGTTGCCTCCACCCATACATCCCCACTGTTTATCTGGAATATTTGTGTAGGTTCCACAGTGCTTATTTATTACTGTAATTAATAACAATGTTCCTAATCAGCTAAGGGTGACATGCATTAATTAGATGTTGCCTCAGTATTCTGAGATTGCAAAGGAAAATAAAGTCTAAAGACTAGAAATGCAAAGGGCTCCGATATGGAGAAGCTAGGTTAGATGCATCACAGTCATGAGACTCGGACATGGTCAACAACAGGGGGATAAAGACAAGACAAATGAAACAAAATTGATATCAGTATATGAAAGAATGCTATCTAATAACCTATGATGCTTCGATACTTGTTCTCAACTTCTCATCCCTAGGATAGTTGTGTCAGACATGGTAGAGACCTGATAGGAAACCAAATATTGCATGCACATTATCATTATATCATACACCCTAGTGTTAACATGTTAAAATATGGAAAATGATATACTTTAACAAATCTAATATATATATATATATATATATATATATATATATATATAAAGCAAGGTCGTCCACGTTAGAGAGCCTCTCCTTGCTCCAAACCCCCCACACTGCTCTCTCCTTGACTCTCTCTGCTTTCCTCCTCCCGCCACTCTCATTATGCTAAGTCAACAAGCTCTCTCTATTTATTCCCAACCCAATTACCTAAAAATACTTTTAGAATTCCTCTCCTAAGATATGTTCTCTTAGTCACGTATCATATTACCCCGCTTCCCAATCAATTCCTAAAATCTCTCTCACCTAAAATATCTCTATCTACCATTTTCTCCTAAAATACTCTCTTTGTTTTGATTGGTGCACATCTCATAGAGTCTCATCCCACACGTTTTTGAATTTTGGGGAGTTGATTGGAAAGACGTTTCCTTTCTCTTATTGATGAGCTGGGGTGCCAAGGTGGTTTCTTATGGAAAGTGGGGAATTAAGTTGAATGAGTAATTAAGTTACTTCAATGGGTTTATTTAAATTAGTAAGTTAAATATGTTCACTTTAAATAAATTAAATGAATACTACTTAATAAATTAACAATAATTAAGTTTGACTGATTAGTTAAATTCATAACTTAATTTCAATAACTAATGAATTATAATTTAAATGAGTTGACTAATTAAGTTAACTTAATTACCTTCATTAACTAATAAAACATTCTTAAAGAAAATGTTAATTCTTTGAGATTAATATTAACTTTAACTTCAAAGTAAATTGGTCAACAATAAGGTACACAATGTACAACCTCTTTTATTCACCTTGCATTTTTAATATTTTTTTGGTAAAGTAGGAAATCAGCACATGACCACTCTCGCTAGGCCACTTCATATTTAGACCTCTTCATAAAACATCAATCTACTCGACAAAACCAACTAAGCTATTGATTGATGTTTTAGTAATTAACCACAAGACGACTAGAATTAACATATTTGGTGTTAGATTATGGCCTCATACTATCAAAACTACCAAGGAAGAACAATTATAAATAGATAAGATAGAAGAGTTTTTCTCGACACACCTGGCCTAGAAAAAAAAAAAAAAAGAAAAAGTTCAACTCAATTTGCATCCAATTCATGTTAGGGTAAGATGGGACTACTAACATGCATGGGAATATGGGATGTTTCATTTTTTACTCTTATACAATGGTTCCATCTTCGGTGCCAGTGGATTGCCTTAAAGACTACCTAAGTAATTTAATTTAAGTAATTAATCTTTTTGCCAAGTGCATTGCATGGGTGCTTACTATTTATTAAATATACTAATTAAATATTCTACTTATTAGATTAGAATCTTTTTTGATAAATCTTATTAGATTAAAAAAATTATTCAATAAAAATATATAATAACTAGGAAAACACAAACCAACAAACTGATGGTGGCTCAGTTAGATTCTCTGACTTTGTAGGGGAGACTTGAGATCAAATCCCATAGCCATAAGGATTGGGGGGTTATGGATTTGGGGGATGGACTGGCCCCTTTCTGTAGCCGCATGAAGAAAAAAACTGATACAAACCAGCCTGGTCCAAAGGAAAATGTCATGGTGCCCCTTCTGCATCAATATATTCTGACTTACGTTAATTTATAATTTCTCCCATTATTCTTTTCCGGAGGCAAATGATGAACGGTTTACATTTCCTTTTAACCTCTTTTATCACCACATTAAATCGGGTTTTCCCATACATCGCACGGGGACCCACTAGTCATATGATAAAAAAAGTCTGTTCAAGAAGTTTTAATTTAATTTGAGAAGATTGAGAAATGAAACTTAAGCATCAAAAACTAAATGCAAAAAGCAGTATGCAAGCATGTTAAATGGGATATCTGAGCTCACGACTGTGTCCGGGATCTTAGGAAATGGATAGTCATGTCCGCTTTTCCCATATCCATATGTGGGCGTCATAGATAAAAGCTAGTGCAATTATCAAATAAAATATTGGTAAGCTCTTAATAAAAAATGAGACTCTTGGGTCTCAAGTAGGGGTGCAACTGTGCAAGTTAGGTGGGGTTGGGTCGGGTTGAGGTCAACCCTAACCCAACCCGAGTTATTGAACCCCCAACCCAACCTTTTTGGGTTGGGTTGAGCTCAGGTTGGCCCGGTTTCTTAACTTCATTATGTAAACTGTTCTTATTTCTTAGACTTAGATTAGTGGATTAAGGTTTAACAATTTTAGCATTAATATATGTACAAGAACAAAAATGCTTTAGGAGTACTGAATTTACGCTGGACTAGAAATTTGTCTCCAAACTTAAAATTGTTGATGCATTTACACAGGGATGCATAATTGCATGCATAAATATATAAATACACATTTATATATTAATTATACATACAAATTGAAGATGTGTCAGGTCCAGGTTGGGTTAGGTTGCACAAGGGCTCAGCCTTTAACCATAACACAAACTTCAACCTGACCCAACCCAATGATCCAATCCAACCCCTTTTCTGGGTTGGGTATGGACCATCTCAAGCTACAAGAATTAGCACTTAAATGATGTAGAAACCATCTGAATAAACCACCCATAACTTCATACTAACCTTGTCCAGTGGCCGTTTGTATAAATCTGTTCGGTAATATGCAGTGGACATCAATAGGCTTGGATTATATGAATTGAAAAGACTGCATAAAATCCAAAGAAGGGATAGATAAGATCCAATGATGAAATCTGGGACAAGATAACGTGCTCTAGTAAAGAACAATTGAAGCAGAACAAAGGGCCAGATAGCTAAGGCAAATCTTGGTTATGTATTTGAAACATAAAAAACATAATTTTTTTAATCAGTAACAGAATGCAATAGATTCATTAATTATCAAAAAATTACAAGAGGTTACGGGGTTTCTATTAAATAGTATTTTGTGAAAATAGCCTCTGCCATGTCACCCCAATTGAAGTATTTTATGATTGAGCCCAAAACATCGGTTGCTTGCTAGCCTATCAGCCAAGCTGTTGGCTGATCTTTGTACCCATTGAACCTTTTTTTTTTTTGTGGAGAAGAGGTAACATCTATCATTCGTTGAGCAAAAAAAGGGGAAGGGGAGGATGTACATGAGAGGATGCACAAAATGAGCACAAAAAGAACAAAACAAAGCCAAAGGACCACCGAAATTACATAGGCATTGTGTCTGCACTGTACAAAAAAGTCCAATCCACCCCTGTTTTAGTAAAAAAATCAGCGATAGAATTCAGCTCCCTTGATATCCATCTAAAAAAGCAGGAAGAGGAACATAGCTTGCCAATCTAATTGTAAAGATGGGCCAGCCTCCAAGGGCCCCTTATCAAAATGGATTGCTCAGCCAATAGAATTACTGGAGTCCCCCTTAATAACGAGAATTGATTGGACTGATTTGGCAATACTCAAGCCAGTCAGCACAGCCCTAACTTAAGCTTCAAATGCATCAGCAGAGACAACCAGCCAATTATAAGTCCAAATAACATTACCAGCTCTGTTCAAAATAAGCCTCCCCCTATACCAATTACCAGCTGAGAGAAGAAGACCTGAGATTGCGATCTGCAGTTGCCATCAAACATCAGGATGAAATCTTACTCCAGCTTGGAAGTGAGAGGATGGCCAGGTAGACTGTCAACATAAGAAGAATGCAGAATTTCTACCAAGTTCCAGTCAAGGTCACCATAGCTGACGCCTTTAAACTGATTAGAGGCGAGCAACCAATAGAAAACACAAGAAAAGATTCTCCCTCTAAGAGTTTCTAACCTAGTCAATTTATTCTCAAAATTTCTTCTGTTGTGCTCTTCCTAGATACACCACATAACTTTATGGATTATGTTAATGTTTTGGTTAGCACTGGTTCAGTTCTAGGTAAGAAACAGGAGAGAAAAAATAAAGGAGAGAAAGAGAAGAAAATACAGAGAAACGGCTGGAAAGAAAAATCACCCTCTCCCAGCCAACCACTTTCTTATATATATGTTTTGAACTTTGATATACAAAGACTCTTATGTCCCTAATTAAGTATGGGAAACAGAACTTAAATTGAGATAAAAGAGACAAAGCAACTATTAATAACAGAATATAAAGAATAAAGTGTCCTCTTGACCGCCAACTCTAACATTCCCCCTCAAGCTGATGACTATATGTCATATAATCCCAGCTTGTAACATATGTAATCCACTCTTTCCCGATTCAACCCTTTTGTAAACAAATCTGCCCACTGATTTCCTGAATTCACATGTATTGTGCTTATCACTCCCCTAAGTGACCTTTCTCTTATAAAGTGGCAATCAACTTCTATGTGTTTTTTCTCTCATAGAAAACTGGATTAGAAGAAATGCGGACTACAATTTGGTTGTCACAGTATAACTTCATAAGGCTGTCAATTGAGTATCCCATCTCCTGCAAGAGATTATTCAACCTCACTAGTTCACATGCAGTGTGTGCCATGGCTCTATATTCAGCTTCAACACTATTTGCTGCTACATTCTATTTCTTGCTCTTCCATGTTACCAGATTCCCTCCAAGAAAGGTACAATACCCTATAATGGATCTTTTGTCAGATACTGAGAGAACCCAACTAGCATCTATGTAACCTTCTATCTCAAGACTCCCTTCTGTTTTGTAAAACAAACCATGACCTAGAGCTCCCTGCACACATCGCACAATCCTTAGAACTACATCCCAGATCCAAGGATTCTGCATAAACTGGCTTACCACAATAACCACAAATGATATCTAGCAGAGTAATAGTCAGGTAGTTTAACTTAATAACCTTCTATATCTCCCAAGATCTTCAAACTCTTCACTTGCATTAGTACTTAATTTGACATTTGGTTCCATAGGTGTTTCAACTAGGTTGGCATCCAATAGTCATGTCTCCTCTAGCAAGTCAAGAACATACTTTCTTTGGCACAAGTTAACATCATGCCTCGACCTTGCAACTTCTATTCCCAAGAACATACTTTCTTTGTAAAGGACAACCAAATTATTGATCAAATTCTAATTGCTAATGAAAGTGTTGAGATGAGAATGATTAGAAACAAGGGCTTCATTTGCAAATTGGATCTAGAGAAGGCTTATGATTTGGTGGATTGGGGTTTTTTGCTCGAGGTAATGAGGAATTTTGGGTTTGGTGATGGGTGGTGCAAATGGATCGTAGGGTGCATTAAGACTTGTCATTATTCGATTTTGGTGAATAGATCTATGGTGGACGGTGGACCACTTTCTAGTGTTAAGAGGTCTTAGACAAGGGGATCCCCTGTTGCCCTTTTTGTTCACATTGACTATTGACGTGTTTGCAAAACTTGTGACTAGGGCTGATAATAGGATTTTGGTGAGGGGTTGGAAAGGTAGATAGGAATGAGGTGCCTCTTACTCACTCACAATTTGTTGATGATACTATTTTATTTTGTGAAGGTGGTAATCGTGGGTGGTAAGGATTTGAAGATGTTGGTCCAAGTTTTTGAGCAGATATCTAACCTAAAAATTAATTTTGATAAAAGTTGCCTTGTGGGTATTAATTTGAATGAGAGGGAGATTGAAGAGAGTACATAGGTTTTGGGTTGTGAGGTGGCTCAATAGCCTTTGACCTATTTGGGGTTATTGTTGGGGGATAATTCGAGGAAAAGTAATTTTTGGAATCATGTGGTTAAAAGGTTCACAAAGAAGCTAACATCTTGGAAGAGTTACTTATCTCTATGGGGGAAGAATTACGCTTATTAGGTCTACTCTTGCTAACTTGCCCACGTATATTTTGTCAGTGCTTAGGATTCCTCAAGGGGTAAGTAGAAAATTGAAAATTTGATGAGAGACTTTCTTTGGGAGCCAAGTGAGGAGAAGAAAGACCCTAGAGTAAGGTGGGAAGTGGTTACAAAAGCAAGAAGTTTGGTGCATTAGGATTGGGAACATCTAGGAGAGGAATGTTGCTTTGTTAGGGAAATGGAAGCAGAGATTACCTAGGATAGAGACAAGCTATGGAGAAAAGTTATCATCAGTATTCATGAGCTTGCGGTGGATGGCTTGGATTCTTGGATTTTGGCTAGGGCCTCTAGAGCTTCTCCTTCTCCCTATAAGTCCATCCATGCAATTTTACCATCCTTGCCATTTGTCAGGTATAATCCCTATTTTGGAAATTGTGTCAATTTTTGGGATCATGTGTGGTTTGGATAATTCTCCTTTGAAGGAGCTATTTCCCTCTCTCTCTATGTCATTTCCAGTTGTAAGGATGAGCCTATTTCTTCTTTCATTGTGCCTTCCAATTTGCCACCTGGGTTTGACTAGGACTTGGGATTCAGGAGAGGGCTTTGTGAGTTGGCAATGAATGTTGTTGTGTCTATTCTCCAAAGGTTGTTTTTTTTTTTTTTTTTGTTTTTTGGATCCCATTGAAAGGGATAGTCTGGGAACACCTTTTCCTGTTAAGGAGGTTTGGAGCAAGCCTATCTCACCTCGTGTGGATGCTCTTTGTTGGGAAGCCTATCTGGAGAGAATTAACACTTTCAATTTTCTTCAAAGAAAAAGACCAAATTGGTGTTTATCCCCTAACCGATGTTTTCTTTGTAAGGCTAATGGTGAGTCTTGCTACCACTTATTAATTTCTTGCCTTTTTATTGCAACAATATGGGAATGGTTTTTCTCTTTGTTTGGGTGCAAGTGGAACCCCCCGCCAAAGCGATGCTTGTTTGCCTCTAGCTTTGTTAGTTGGTTGAAGAAGAGGGAAAGATATTTATGGCGATGTACAAGGGTGGTTGTGTGTTGGATAGCATGGGATGAAAGGAACGAGAGGATCTTTCTTGAGAAGGAGAGAAGTATGGATGTCGTAATTGAAATCATTACAATTAGGGTGATCCACTAGGTGAAGTCTCTTGTTATTTTTGAAGGAATCCTTGTAGATGATTTGGATTTGGTGAGGAATTGGTAAGTTGTTGTTGACTCAACTCCTAGTAAGGGTGTGGTAAGACCAACTTGGTCCCCTCCTCCATGTGGCTTTATTAAGCTGAATTTTGATGGAAGAATCATTGTTGTCTACTCAGGATCGATTGGTGTTGGAGATTCTTTGAGGGCTAAAATAATGGCTGTGTTGGAAGGTCTTCAAAGGGCTAGAGAGCTGAACATTCAAATGCTAGTAATTGAGGGGGACTCAAAGTAAGTTATTGAGTAGTTGAAGAAGGAAGAGGTTGGATGTTGATGCTATATTAATAATAGAAGGAGTACTTGGCTGTTTCGGAGAATGAAAATCAATGTGCAATGAGTGGAAAGGAATGCTAATTCATTTGCTGATACAATAGCAAAGAAGGGGGTGGGAAAGGATCATTTATTTTGGGCTATATTGTAATTTTGTTGTTTGTATTTAGGAGAGTTAAGAGAGTTTATCTCTCCCCTTATCCCCTTTGTACACTTTCTTTATTAATATAATAAATAAGTTTCTGTTATTCAAAAAGAAAAAAAAAAAGATTCTTGGGGCTGGTTTGTTGGAAATCAAAGTTCTAGTTAGATTAGAACTTATCCTAACTAACTAGTAGGAGAGTTTGGTTAGGAAACTTGGGGCATGGGTTTTCTCAATTCAATTGGAGTTTCTAGAGTTTTTTGAAGCTCATATAAAAGCAAAAAAGAAGGCTGGGACATCCAGCACTATTGCCTTCACCATTTCCCTAATTGTTGATCGGGATATACTATTACCTGCTCAATGAAGCATTGTTGTACATATTTAACCTCTCAAAGAATGCAAGGGTATAAAAGGTAAAGCGATCCACAACAGACACGCCAACCTGAATCCAGAAACAAATAGAATTAAAATTTAAGAATGGCATCAAAGTCATAGATTGCTAAAGAAAAAAAATATATATGACAACAATGTGTAGGTTAAATTTATTAATCATGTATCCAGTATATTCCAGTGAAAGGACTAGTAATAAGAATCCTATCTTACATCGGAGTCCAGATGATGTGAGTATGAATTTTCTCCTTTCATGCTACTTCCGATTGCCAAAACCCCAGGTGAATGAAGCTGTCAATTTCAACAAGTTTAATGAATTTTATGCAGGAAAACCATGTTCAATTTCTGTTTTGAATAAACTGATTAGATCAAATATTCACTAAAAGGACCACAGTTAACACTCATTGATATCAAAAGAGAAGCCAGAAGTTCAATTTAGCTCACCAATGACAGTTCAATTACAAAACTAGAGGTTAAAAATACGTCAGATGGTTGGTTTGAAACACATGTAAGAGTTATCTAGGGATGCAGTGTAGTTTGTCCTTTGAATTTTGTAGCAATTATTTGGTTTATTACTATGTAAAAGGCAGGCAAAATACCTCTAACCTGTCAGTTCATCTAGCTATTTTGTAATATTGGCTATGATCTTGACAACAAAAGAAGAGGAAGAAAGAGAGCAAGAGCAATCACCAAGTTTCAAGGTGCCAAGGCGAAGCTAAGCAATAGGGGAGTGCATAGTTGCCTAGCAACCATCTTTCAATGGTAATTATTGATAAGCTACATATAAAAGCACAAAAAACCTCAACATATTTATGAGAAGAAAATTCATAAGAAGATCAGAAAATATAGGGGCTCAGGACCTATTTTTGTCTAGGAAAAGGGAAAAAAACAGTAGATGATGATGGTGTTGATAAAAAGAGCAGCCCCGTGCATGAATCTCCCACCAATGCGGAGTCTAGGGAGGGACAGATGTACGCAGCCTTACCCTGGACATACAGAGAGGCTGTTTCCAAGATTCGAACCCTGGTCACTCAGGTTGCAATAGAGCAACCCAACCATTGTGCCAAGGCCCACCCTGGTCACTGGATACATAAAGAAGAACAATGTGTTGATTGGACAGAATTTTAAGTTCTTCCTTACTTATTGGTTCAGGTTTTGAAGTCTGTGAAGGTTCAAGACAGTATATAAACCAACATGTGTATTGATTGAAACCTAACAAATAAGAAAATAATAAAAAGAAACTGGTATATAAATCCACAAAATGGATATTTTTGTTTAGTGATATCTATTTAGTTATTATAACATAAAAAAACAAAGAATATAAAAGTTTTTCATAGTGCCATGTACAAAATAGGTATTTGATTAAGCAAAGCGACCATCACCTTGACTACTATAGCAATCACATCATTTCTATAGCAATTACAAAGAGTGATGACTAATCATGATAGAGAAAATTCTATATAATCAGCATAGTTGTCAAGGCGATGCCTAGGCGACAAGGCACCCTTGGAGGTTCGCCACAACTAACCACCAAGCAGTTTTGTACTTTCCATTATAAAATACTTTTTATTCTTTATTTTTTGAGATTATAATTATAAAATAGACATTATTAAACTAAAATGTTCATTTTGTGTGTTTATGCGCTAATTTCTTTTTATTATTTTCCTATTTGTTAGGATTTATTCAACACAAACATTGCTAAAATGCTGTATTGAACCCTCAAAGACTTCAAATGAACCAATAAGGTAGAACTTAAAAATTTGTCTAATCAACACATTTTCTTCTTCCATATCTTCTACTTTCTTTTCTTCTTTTACTATAACAAAAATAAGGGTTCAGCCCCTATATTTTTTTCAATTTTCTTTCTTTCTTCTTTTTCTTCTCATGAATATGTTTACTTTCTATACTTTAAAACATGAACTTTATACTTTTCTTATGAAAATTATGAATAATTATTAAGGAAATATGGTTATGGTACCTAGGGAACTACCCTAGGATCTATGTTTTTTACTTCCATTGCCTAGGTGACAAGGCACCCCCCCTCCATAGCCTATTCTCGCCTTGAAAACTATGATAATCAGTACCCTGGAAAACTTTTTCTGTTCTTTTTTGGGAAGATAAAGTATGGGTTTCATATCACATGGCCAAATGATAACAAAAAATTAGCACTCATGCAAGGTGCCAACCAGCTGGTTGGTAAGGTCTCCTGCTGGTTGTAGCGAAGACTTGGGATTGAATCCCGCCTGCACCTGGGTTGGGGGATGGGCTACCCCCATTGTGTAGCCCTTCAGAATATATATAAAAAAAAAATAGCACTCATGCACATAAAAGCTATGTACAATGGGGATTTATGATCATATGGTATATGTCAGGAATTACAATTTATAAATAGGTTCTCACAATCAAAAAAGGAGAGTTGTATCTTTTCCTTTAAAAGATCTGTTACATAGTTTTCAAGGTGCCAAGGCGAGGCTAGGCCATAGGGGGACGCCTTATCGCCTAGGCGATGGATTTTTTTAAGTAAAATCCACATATCCTAGGGTAGTTCCCTAGGTTCTATAACCATCTTTCCTTAATAACTATCCATAATTTTCATAACAAAATTATAAACTTCATGTTTAAGTCTAGAAAATCAACATATTTATGAGAAGAAAAAGAAGAAAGAAAAGAAAATTCAAAAAATATAGGGGCTGAACCCCTATTTTTGTTATAGAAAAAGAAGAAAAGAAAAGAAGATGTGGAAGAAGAAATGTGTTGATTAGACAAAATTTTAAGTTCTTCCCCTACTTATTGGTTCAGATTTTGAAGTCTATGAGGGTTCAATACAGCAGTTAGCGATGTTTGTGTTGACTAAATCCTAAGAAATAAGAAAATAATACAAATAAATTAGTTTATAAACACAAAAATAAATATTTTTGTTTAATAGTGTCTATTTTATAATTATAATCTCAAAAAATAACAATATAAAAAGTATTTTATAAGACAGTATAACAAAACTGCCTGGAAACTGGGCAAGGCAAGCCTCCAAGGACGCCTTGTCGCCTAGGTGCCCACCTATTCAAGCTGTCCTCTCCCCCCAAATGTTTCCCATACAACTTCTACTCTTCTGCTTAGCCCTTTCAAATGCCAGCTATGGAGGAAAATGATTTTGAAGAATCAAATAAAACTTCATTAAGAAAATATAAAGTACAGCAGGAGGTGATAAGACATCACCATAAGCAAGGAGAACCCGCAGCAAACCCAAAAAATATCACGAGATAGACCAATACAAAGAACCCAAAAAAATGACAAAACTATAAGCCACCCCCAATCAAATCAAGCACAAGAACCCTTCCAGATGCCCACATCAGTCTTCATCTGTGAACTCATTCTCTTGATTCGAGAATTCCTCATCCCATTCCTTGTTCCTTTCCATCTGAGTTTTTTTCTTCATTTTATCTTCCTCTTTTTTTCTTTCAAATTCTTTGAAGGCCCTCCTAGCAAATTCCTCACCACCCCAGCACATCAGACCCAAATTATGGAGGAAAACTTTCATTTCTCACAAGCTACAAGTAACTTGTAACCTTGTTAACCAAGCCACTAGGAAGATACTAATTAAAGGGAAGGTAACAACAAAACCCACTGTTTTAAGCTTCATGTAATATGTTTTTAGATTTTGCCTTTGTTATACATGTTCTTTCTATTTCTCCAAGCAAATTCCTCACCACCCCAGCACATCAGACCCAAGCTATGGAGGAAAACTTTCGTTTCTCACAAGCTACAAAGTAACTTGTAACCTTGTTAACCAAGCCACTAGGAAGATAAAAACAAAACCCACTGTTTTAAAGGGAAGGTAAAAACAAAACCCACTGTTTTAAAGGGAAGGTAAAAACAAAACCCACTGTTTTAAGCTTCATGTAATATCTTTTTAGATTTTGCCTGTGTTATACATGTTCTTTCTATTTCTCCAAGCAAAGCCCTCAGCAATTCCCATCTTATTGGCTTCACCTTTTATGTGCAGAAACAAAGTAAAACATCAACATTAAGAAATTAGTAATTAAGAATGATTCAGGTTTGGTGATGGGTGCGAGTGTTTGAACGGGTGGTTGTTTGTGAGAAGCTAGGGGGAGACTTCATTTTTTGTAAAAACCTGGTGGGGGTTCAAAGTTCTATCTCCAAAAGTTGTATTGAGGGTATTGAGTTTTTCTTTTTTTATTTTGGGTGATAATTTATCACCTTTTACTGTAATCCCTTATCCTTGCTATGAATAAATTTTCGTTTTTATTTATTACCAAAAAAACAGTAATTCAAGCATAGAGAGACCATTTATGGCAATATAGGAGTGAATTAAAAAATAATTCAAGTGGCTAACTCAAGATCTTGAAATGAGAACTAGTTTAGCAAAGAGGGATTGCTAATAGAATGGCAGATGAATTAGCTAAGCAAGGGGTGGGGAAACATAAATGTTTTGGGCACATTGGGAGCAATTGCAATTGAAAAAAAGAGCAGAGCCTATCTCTCTAAAAGGGGTTTTGCAAATATGTACTGTTATGTTCTATAATTTATAACGTTGATTGGCATTTATCAAAAAAATCAGAATAAAACATCCATATTGAAGACACTGTCTACTCTTGATTCAACACAACTCCACTTAGCGTCCAAGTAAATACTGTTACTTCCAAACCATAGTACTATTATTTGATCATATCATTGAATCATTTAATTCTCCTGAAATCCGTTCAGTCTTATTTGTACACATCTTTATTAGGAGGTACACATACATAAAATCTCCATTGACCTTTATTTGGTATTTAAATCTTCTATCCCAATACATGAATTAAATTCATGAAATGAGCCTAACAAGCTTATTCAATAATATGTTTGTACAAAACTCACCAGAAGAATTAAGTTATTTGAAACAACTAACCTGAGAAAAAAGCGTAGCAGCTTGACAAGTATCTACCATTATCAGCAGCTCCTTGAATCTTAAAAGAAAAGATGTTAAGTATATGAGCTCATTATTTAAAAATGAAGATATGTAGTAACTTATCAACTACATGATATTTTAAAAATGGGTAAAATCATGCCTTCAGGGAAAAAAGACTATAGTCTGTCTTATAATCAACATACTACTTTGGAACTATTCACAGATAACACTGTGGATGACATGTTGAGGAAGTGGGGTGAAATTGCAAATTACACATGTTGGAGGTGTTTTTAGGGACGAAAATGGGGTCATCTCTGCCATGTTCTCAGGCCCAATTGGAGTGGGTGACTCCCTTAGAGCTGAGATCTTTGCAGTTATGGAAGGAGTCCGGAAAGCTAAGGAGTTGAACATCAAGAAACTCATAATTGAAGGGGATTCAGAGGTGGTGACTAAAGATCAAAATGGTTTATGGAAGTACAACAATGAGAGGAAGAAATTCATGTGGCTGGTGCGGGAGATGGAAGTTAAGACATGTTGGGTCGGCTAATTCCCTAGCTGACGGTTTAGCTAAACAAGGTGCAGAAAGGGATTCACTGTTTTGGGCTAAGCTGTAACTTTAGTGTCTTCTTTTTTCCTTTCATGAGGCTCTTTGTGGCTCTTGGAAGATAAGTGTGTTTGTCTTCCTCCTGTAAATTTTCTACTGATGATTTAATAAAAGTGTTATTGATCAAAAAAATAAAAAATAAAATAATCAACATACTACTTGTTAGCTAATGTAGAAATACAGCAGACAAATAGCAGCAGAAAGGATCAAAGAAACACAATATCCAACCTACGCTTTTGTTTCATTTGCTTTACTGCATCAGCTAAATCATGACTCTGAAGCTCTTCAGAGTCCTGGAATTTGAGGAATTCATCTCCTCCATGCCCAGTCATGTATAGAAGTATGTGGCTTCCTTCATCACTTAAAAGGCGCTTTGATCTTGGAACAGCTGTTTCATGGCGCCCAGTCAAAACCCGTAAAAAATTTTCAACAGTTACTTCATAACCTCTATAGTCTACCTGCAAAATTGGATTATCAAAGCATCAGTCAGAAGTTTCACTTAGAACCTGAAATTACAGTAGCCCTTCAAATTATGTTTGCTGGAGACAATGGAATATTTGTTTCTCCTGTTCATATCATTTTATATGATTGCCAGATAATAGGAAATGGATTTGCTTGCTAGAATAACAACTACATCTAGAAGGAAAACAACCATATGCAATATCCCCTAATTATGGAATTACGCATTAGTTAAGCAATCTTTGGTAAATCTTCCTAAACATTCTTCTCAGGCACAAACACCATTCCCATAGACCAAACCCATATTATGTCTACATAAATATGGATTTGTGAGTTTCGATGAAAGTATTACCAGTGGTTTAAGAGCATATGCAAGGCACATTTTAAGGTATGCGCCTTGCCTAGGCCCAAGGCACAACACTTTGCTGGTGTGCCTTGTGCTTCACCCCCTATTTGCTGTTGTTCATTCATTCATCCTAATAAATGACATTTTTAAAAGAAAATTATAATTATAAAATCAATTTTTTGTAGCAATTAAGAATATAAGACCTTAAGGTAGACTTATTTGGGCTTGCCTCAAGGGGCTAGGCACAAAGGCAGCTAGTAGAATCAGGAATGCAACTTTACCAAAAAAAAGAATCAGCAATGCAAAATGTTTAACATCACATTATCTATTTGAAATAATGCAATTGTGGAAAAATATAGAGATTGAAAGTTTGAGATGCTTGAATATGTTTCATATGTTTTGTTTGATTTATTTTTAAATTTTCATTTTGAATATGCTTTACTTGTTATGTTTATGTATTTTAATTTGAGACAATAGGTTTTTTTTAAACATTTATTTTAAAATTTAGGGCGGTGTTTGGCAAGTCTTTGCATTTGGACTTTTGGGCTTCAACAAGCTCTAAAGACTGAAAATCGGTTTTTTTCCGTTTGGTAACCAAAAGCTGGAAGGATGAAAAGATGCATGCATGAAAAGACCCAAAAAGACCGAAAATGTCAAATTTCAAAAAGCTTCAAATGAAACTTTCTGGTCTTTCTGCGTTTTTAAAAGCTTGGTAGACCGAGCTGCTTACCAAACAAAGCTCAATATGTCTTTTGGCCATAAAAACTTGCCAAACGACACCTAAGTTTACATTTTCAACCAATATATATTATGTTTAATATTTTTTTTTCTTTTCTTTTGAATTTTGGGCATTTTTTTTAATTTTTTAGCATTTTTTGTGCCTTGCTTTGAAAAGTCATGAACCTTTCTTTGCACCTTGCACCTTGCATCTTGAGTGCAAAATGCCCCTTAAGGACTTAACTGCAAATGTGTAGTTGGGCCCCTTTGCAATTTTAGGAAGTCTTTCTAATCAAAACCACAACACAAATTAAAGAGAGTGGACGGAAGATTCCAATCCTAGGAAACCCGAATCCTTAAGGATGGAAGTCCTAATAGGATATCACACCCCCCTTAGAACTCTGCTTCTATAAATATATAAGATATTTAGAAGACCCAGAGAGCAAGAATTCAACTAGTCCTAAAGGAGAGATCGAATTGATATATTCTGGTGCCCAACTGATCCAGGAGTATTGAAAAGTTACAAAGAATGGGAGCAATGTGACTTCCATTGGGGGAATCAATTTGGCCAATTGGATTGACATTACTTGCAGATTTTTCCATCAAAGAATTCAGATATGGGAGCTGTATTTTGGGTGATTTATAGGTATTAAATAATTAAAAATTAAAAATAGTCAAATACTCTATGGTGATCTTGGGTTTACAGTGAACCAAATCAACTTATTTCTTGCAATTTCACCTTCACCTATGTTTTCTCTTCCTTGGTCATAAAACCAAGTTGTATTTTTTTTTTTCTGGATTGATCCTTATGAGGTCAAAGCATGAAAGAGGATCTTATCAATCATACAAGGCAAGTTTATGTTGTGTTCGATCCAGACAGTTGTTTAGGAACCTTCTGGAAGGTTGTTTTTTTTTTATGAATAATAGTAAGTTTATTGATTCAGAAGCAAATTAGAGTGAGTTCATACATCAT